GGAGGGGGCGTCAGGACGGCGCGGCCAGGCAGGGGTGCGGCAGGGTGAGCGGGTGTTGTGATTGCACGCGGCGGGCGGGGAGGGCAAACAGCCTCTGCAGGCAGCCATGGTTGCGCACTGCCTGCTGCACGTTGGCACACCGTGCATGCCGATGAACACGTCGGCATCCTGCGCCGCCACCACGCCCGCCTCCAGACTCGGCAGCTCCACCTGCACACCAGCGAGAGGTGGGGGCTCTTAGAGCAGGTGGAGCCAACTCTAGGCCAGGTAGACACCCCAGATCTGCCAGCACCAAGCAGTGGGGGGAGGCAGGAAGGAGGCGGGAGAGGCAGCACAGCACCGCGCCGCACCTCGTGACACTCGGCGGTGATGGTGGCGCCGCCGCCGGGCGGCTTGTGCCGCCACTTGTTGCAGAGGGACTACAGCACCCCAGTGCTGTGGTCCCTCTGCAAGCAGTGATGGGGTGCTACTGTAGCGCCTGGACAGCCGGGGTGCAGCGCCCGCCGGCTATCCCCAGCTTGCTTGGGCGGGGGCTTTGTTGGCCTTGGATTCGTTCATTCTTTCAGTCACCTGGCCTATTTGTCCCTCACCTGCCTATGCCCCTCCCCTCCTCTCTCTTCTGCCCTGCCCCATACCTCTCAACAGCATCGAAGGTTTTGTTCTTCTTTGTACATCTCTTGCCAAATGCATGCCAAGTAAGCAATGAAAACGCTCAAAGCACGCAGTCAGGAAAACGTACTTGGGAAGAATGGGAGAAGGTATTTGCCAAGGTCTGATGCATGTAGGGGGAAGGGCGGTACTCAAAACTGTGAACAACTGTTGGCGGTTGAAACGCTCAAATTCGGTCACTCCTGACTGCTGTCGAGACAGCTGCGTTTGGCCCGAGGCAGCTGCAGCAGTTGCTGGGCTGGCCAGACCTGTGCCTGCTGCCACCCTCATCAGCCAAGCCGCCACAAGCCCCATCAGCTGCTGCCGCTGCCTCGACGTCTGCATCGTCGCTTGCCGCCGCCGCTGCTTTGTCGCCTGCAGCTGCCGCCGCGCGCGCCGTTGCTCGTTTGCTGTCCCGCCATTGGAGCCACATATACACGGTCACCGCCGCCACAGTGATGGCTGCGCCCGCTATCTGCAGGCAGGGCCAAACAGAGGAATGCCGCTTGCCACCCATGCCGCTTGCCAGCCTGCTTGTGCCGCCGCTCTGTGCATGCCCTCTGTTGGACGCTGGGCATCCTGCTGCCCGGCTTCCATTCCTGCTCACCTGCACGCCCGTCTTGATGATTGTGTGATCCAGCAGGAGCTGGGACTCGACGACTGAGAAGATGAGGCGCAGCCCGTAGAACATGCTCACGGTGGGGGCGCCCAGCTGCCAGGTGGAGTGCTGCAGCAGGGAGGCCGGCGGCAGACCCGACGCCACATCACCCGCCTGGCGCGCTGGGCAGGGCAAGCATGGCGGCGCAGCCGGCGGCAGCCTGGCTGGATTGTTCCCAGTGCGGAGCAACGGGCACCTGGATGGCAGAGAGGGACCCCACGCAAACGACAGGTGCGAGGGCCAGCACCGCCCAGTCGCTGGTGCCCCAGCCGCCAAACTGGCAGGACCAGTCGGTGCCGTTGATGGGCAGCGACAGCGGCAGCAGCACCAGGATGCAGAAGCCGAGGTAGCAGTACTGCAAGCATGGGTGTGGGTGGCGACGGGGTGGGGAGGCGGGGCATGTCAGTAGGGAGGGGCTCGAGGCACAAAAGGGGGTGCAGGCATGCGGGCAGGTGGTTCACAGCAACAGAGATCGAACCGAGGCAGACAGGGATGAACGCCTGCGGGGAGGTGGCGCTGTTGGCAGAAGGCTGGCTGCAAGGCCCACCTGCAGCTGCAGGCTGGTGAAGCCCAGGTGGCGGAAGGCTTGCAGGCTGACAAAGCAGGCGACCGTGCACAACATGCAGCACACCGAGAGCCCAAACCCCAGCCACCCCTGCCAGTCACCCAACCCCGTCGCCTGGCCCTGCACGCATGCGGCAGGACGGGGACGAGCATGAGGCGCCCACAGAGATGCGCCGCCCAGCAGCGGCACCGGCCAACAGCGCCAACTCGTGCACCGCCTGCGCCTGTCCACCGCTGCCCATCTCCTCCCTCCTCCTCCCCTCTCCTCCCCGCACCCACCCCGCCAATGGTGGGGATGATGACCATGGCGGCGCCCCCCAGCATGGCGCCTGACGCGGGCCAGATGGCGGTGGGCAGGTGGTGGTGCAGTAGCAGGCGCTGGAAGAGCGCCACCCCAATCACGGTGAACATGTTCACCAGCTGGACTGCAGGAGCAGGCAGGGGGGCAGGCGGGGCGTGGTGGGGACAGGCAGGGAGTGGCAGACGGGGACAGTTGAGCGACCGCCATGCAGGGCGAGGCTGGTTTTGCGAGACGTTTGGTGGACAAGATGCATGCAAGGCGCCGCAGCGCGCAGCCTCACCCAGCGCGGGGTCCACGAAGCCGGGGGCGATGATCTGGAAGGTGCCAGCGGCGGCAGTAGGAGACGGTGGTGACGGCGAGCGCGCCCCAGTACACCAGCTGCGGCCGACCCTCGCCCAGGTCCCGCACCCGGCGCGACAGCCCCCGCTGCAGCGCCAGCTCCGGCCGCGGCGGCAGTGGCTGTCCGGGCCGCCGCACAAAGGTACTGTCCTGCCGATGCCAGGTGGGGGCGGAGGGCTGCTGGAAGGGGGAGGGGCCCGGGGCGGCGGCAGTACCGACAGCTGCGCCTGCGTCCGCCTGCTGCCCGCTGGCCTCATCTGCCTGCGCAGCCAAGTGACTGTCCTCTGCGACCTGGCCACTGTCTGCTTGCTGGGGGCACGAGGTGCTGCCCTCGGCGCTGATGCGACAACACTTGGGTGGCGCAGGCTTGCCGCTGCCCTGCCGCCGCAGAAACTGCTGCTCGCGGTCGCTCCGTCGCAGCCGCCCCGCCCTCGGCACCGCGCCTGTTACCCTCGCCGCAGCATCCACTATCGCCGCGCTCACCAGCGCCAGCAGGCTGACCAGCAGCGCCAGCCGCAGGGCAGGCAGGGGCGGCGAAGGCTTGACCTGCAGGGACCGCGGCTGAGCGGGTCACGTCGCCTTCAGTCGCCAGGCAGCACCGTACGCGGCTTGCGCGTGCACTGCATCACTGAGCCGGCAAAATGTTCTACCGTAGCCCACAAAAGGTTCGTGGGTAAGTAAGTCTCTCAGAGGGCTCAAAGTCAATTTGGAGGGCCCACGAATGCTCCGGAGGGAGTGTTCCCCGAGCCCCGAGCCAGCCTGGCAGTGTTTTCGCTCCTCTGAGCAGCCAGAACGCACTCGTCTGTGGGGGTACGGTTCGGGGGAGAATTATGCAAGACCTCCCCCAACGCAAACGCCTTTGCAAGTCCCGCTACCTGCAACCAGCGATCGAGGACACCGAAGAGCGCCACCAGTGCATGACCCAGTATGGCCACGCCCAGCCACAGCAGCAGGGACCGTCCCGCGTGCCCCCCTGCCCCCCCCGGCATCCTGCTGGGCCTGCGGCAGCCCTGCCTGCTGCTGCTGCTGCGTGCTGCTGAGTGATCAGGGGTAGAGCGATTTGCCCGAAGAAGAAGAAGATGTGACCAAACACGGGTGAAGCAATGTCGCAATGTTGCAGCGCTTTATCCAAATTGCCACAGCAACGCGCCGCGTGTTGCTCAGTTGCCAAGTAGGAAGAGCGCCTGCAAGAGGGAGGGCTGCGAGACGTGCCAGCTGGCGCCTGCAAGCATGTGCCAGCTGGCGCCTATGGAGGAAGGGGACGCGCAAGCCAAAAACCGCAGAGGCCGACCGGAATGAATCTCTGGTGCTGTCCTCGCTCGCTCCTTTCAACCGCTCTTCAGGCCAGGAGAGCAGCGGCCACCGCTCACCGCCCCTAGCAGCATCCAGTCATGGCCCGGCTTGCTCTAGAGGTCGTAGTGCGACCTGTGAAATCGCAGCAGCAGCTAGAGGAGTTTAAGAGCGTCACCGCCGCTTACCTAGGTGCTGGTGCTTCTGCGGCCGTGTGGGTGATGCAGGCTTCGTCCTGATTTGTTGCATCATGTCAGTTGCCGGCGGCACAGCACCATTTGAGTTTGCTGCCCTTTGCCACCACTCCGCCACTGCCGCTGCCCTTCAGTGAGTGGATTGATCCACTCACTGCCCGACTGCCCTTCTTCCGGGCTTCTGTTGAGCATGCAGAATGGTTGGGAGAAGACCTTGGGCTCCTGGGGGGCATTGAGCGCGAGCTGGCAAGCCTGCCTGGCAGCTATGCCGCCGAGGCGGGGGGCAGCATGCTGCTGGCGTATGCGGCGAGCGGCAGCGGCGAGGAATGCATCGGCGCCGTGGCGCTACGGCGCCTGGCCGGGCACACGCCCACGCTGGGCGAGGGCGACGCGGTGGCGGGCGTGCCGCTGGCAGAGGTGTGCGAGATGAAGCGGCTGTTTGTGCTGGAGGGGCACCAAGGGTTGGGCGCTGGCGCGGCGCTGGTGCGGGCCCTGCTAGCAACGGTGCCACTCCTGGGCTACCGCCTTATGGTGCTGGACACGCTTGAGCGGATGTCGTGCGCCATTCGCTTGTACAGCAGGCTGGGATTCCAGCCCTGCGAGCGCTACAACGACTGCCCGGTGCCGGACGTGCTGTACTTTGCTTTGCAGCTGGGGACAGCCACGTGAGGCAGCTTTTGCCAGGCCACTGGTACCAAATGTTTGCAATGAACCGTTCTTAACCTTTCTCTGTATCTATCTTATCTGTATCTTTATTCGATGACTAGCACTGCAATCGCACCGACCACCTGCTTTCTGTAAACGTCTGCCCTGTCGTCATGGGAATGTTACAACACCTCAACCCCCAACTCACGCAGCCGCCTCTCCACCTGCGCCAGGCAGGCGCTGTTGGCATCCAACTCTGCGGCATGTGGCAGTGCTGCTTCGCCATCCAGTTGCTGACAGCCATTATGGAGGTGGCGCTGTTCTGCCACGAGGTCTCGAAGCACCGCCGCCACGCGCTGGAGCCTGAACATGTGATGCCAAGGGCTACTGAGATTGCAAGTTTTGAGGCCGATGTATCCATCATCAGCCACCATCCTAGATGGGCAGCTCTGATGCTCGCTGCCGCTGCCTGCTTCCTCTCTTCCAGCTGCCATTAATGCCTCTTGCAACTGGCCTGGTGGTGCTCCTTCATGGCGCGGGGAGCCGCCGACTGCTGCTAGCTGGTGCAGACTGCGCCGCGCGATACAGCGCAGCAGTGTCCCAAGTCCCGCATAGTCCATGCCCGCGTTGGCCGCCAAACTTCTCTGAACCAATCGTTCAAACTCAGCCAGGCTGCAGGCAAACATGAAATGGTAGCAATTCAGAAACCTATCGGCCTCTGCCAAAATGACCTAGCTTCCTGAAAAAAGGAGAGGGCCGGTCTTGCCTGCAAAGCTCCCGGCAGTCCTCGATGCCCTCCTCAGCCTGCCGCCGTTCCAGTCGCAGCAGCGCCCACGTCCAGTGCACGTTGTGGCCATTGAGCCAGTTGTGGTTGATGCTAATACAGTCGTCGACATTCTCCACTGCAAAAATATCGGGGGCAGTACCCAACACGCAGATGTCAGGAAGCAGGTTGGAATGCTTCAGCGGAGGCCACGCTGCTGTGGGTTGGCAGGTGCAAAGAACATGGCATTGGGCCTACCCGTATGCCACCAGCCTGAGGGTACAAAAATGGCGTCGCCCGGATGCTGAACCACGGTTACGATGTGCGAGCGTGCCTCTTCAAGTCGAGGGTACAGGCCTGCATGCACGAGAAAGGGCCGGTCATTGCACAGGGACTGCCACTGCGACGTGGAATGCCTGACATGCATGCCCCCCCTCCATTGTCACGCCTTGCAGCAGCATAGAGGCCTGCCAAACGCTGCACCTTCAAGGTCTTCTGCAAAGAAATCCCACGCAGGGATACGACCATGGAGGTCCAGCAGCAGGTGGCTGTACTGCAAGCGGGGGACAGAGGCAGCAGGTGGCTGAAGCAACAACAGGGATGCATGCCCCTACTGCCGTCAAGTTAGGGGAGCCCCACCTGGGGCGGCAGCAACCGCCACAGTTTGCATCCCACCACATTAGCTGACCAGCTGAAGCTGCGCAGCACATCTGAGTGCAGTGAGGTGCTGGTGCCCTGCAGGGAACAGGGGCAGCCACTGGCCAGGTGCTCCATCGCAGGGGCCTCATCGATCGCCTTTTTTTCACCTCCAGCTACCTCACTTCAGCCTCCTACCTTTGCACCCAGATACACAAACCGATAGTCGGCTGTCCTGACATCGTGCTGCGGCTGCGGCTGCTCACGGGCATCGTACAACTCATTCAGCCAGTCGTCAAAGAAGAAGGAGGGGCAGCGGTAGGCTTGATACTGCGGATCAAAGGCCGCCAAGTGCCAGTCCTTGCAGTACCACAAGGGACCAGGAGTCAGCAACGTGCTGGATGCCCTTGTTTCCTCCTCCTCCTCCTGCTGCTGCTGCTGCTGCTGGTTGTGCTGCTGCCACCAGTCAATGTACTCTGCCAGCAGCATCTGCCGGCAGGGCCCGCTCCCCTCGTGCTCTCTGCGTGCACAAGAAGCCCGTTGCAAGAGGGGAGTCATCCCGCAGCAGCCTTTACCTGCTGGCTGGCACGCACTCGCACCTGGCAGTGTCTGTGACCATGACCTGCGCATGTCCAAAATGCTGCCGCAGGAAGTCGAAGTCGATTGCGCCACATGGGGTAACCCAGTCGACTGCTGCCCGCCAGCCCTCCGTCGCACCCTCAACAAGGACCGGGGCATTTGGCTCCATAAACTCCAGGCAAAAACGCGCATAGCTCAGCTCTGAGGCGGGGAGGCGGGGAATGGAGCTGGTCTCGGCGGCGGGCGCCAAGCCGGGCTCCGCCGGCGGCGGTGCGCCGCTGTCGCCAGCGGTCAACACAACCTGAACGCACATTCGCGATCGATCTATTTCTCGCCATTCAGTGCAGCGGAGCATCCACACGACAGCACGCCATGCCAACCTCTGTAGTTGCAGCAGCAGGCCGAGAGAGGAGCGTGCGCCAGGGTTCGTGCATCTGCGGCCAAATGATGGATAGACGAGCGATGCCCTGGGGGGAGGGGGCCAGGCATTATGGCAGCGGGTCGCCGTGGCGGCAGCGTTGGCAGCGGGCGTGCCTTGGAGCCGTTGCCGGCCTTGCCTGGCTTGGCATTCCTGCCTGGTGAGAATCGACAGCAGATACATACCACATGACATTTCATGCAGGCTGGGGTTGGTGCAGGCAGTTTCTCGCTGCGCAGGCCGACCGATGCTCACCGACTCACTGTGGAGAGGCAATAATACAGTTGGGCATCAGTTGGGTATTTGATGAATCAATGGGAAGAATCCGAGGCACAAAGTTGGGCAGGGACATACAGCAAATAGCAACCATACGGATTCATTCCTCAATTCACAGGCAGCGACAGCCTCCCGACTAAGGTGCTCAGGCCTGGCCATCCGGCGCGGGGCAGCCGCTGTTCTCGCCAACGCGTCCCACTCCGCGCGACACCACCCCCGCCGCGCCCACATTGAAGCGGTGCAGCCAGCGGGTGTAGTAGTCGTCCAGGTAGCGCTGCCGGTCGCCGCCCACAGCCGCAAGCTCTGCCAGTATCGCCTCCAGCGCCTGCCAGGGCACCCGCGAGCTGCGGTCGCGTGGCCACCACGGCGGCTTGCCGGTGCCCGCCACCTCGGCTTGGCCGGGCTGAGAGATGGCAGGGTCGCACACCACCGCCAGCCACCAGAGCAGCTGGGAGGAGGGGTCCTGCGGTGCAGATGGGGGGTGCAAGGAGTGGGGCTGTAGAGGGACTACAGCAGCCTCCAGTGCAGGAATGCCAGCAGCAGGCTGGGGTGAAGGGTCCCACCACCACAACAGCAAGCAGCGGGTCAAGGCGCACCTGGGCATTGGCTTTGCTGAGCCCAAAGGAGCCAGGCCTCACTCGTAGGGGCTGATCTCAATGGCGCTGCTGCCAGGCCGCATGAGCCAGGAGTTGGCCATGTTGGCGCCTGCGGGAGGGGGCGTCAGGACGGCGCGGCCAGGCAGGGGTGCGGCAGGGTGAGCGGGTGTTGTGATTGCACGCGGCGGGCGGGGAGGGCAAACAGCCTCTGCAGGCAGCCATGGTTGCGCACTGCCTGCTGCACGTTGGCACACCGTGCATGCCGATGAACACGTCGGCATCCTGCGCCGCCACCACGCCCGCCTCCAGACTCGGCAGCTCCACCTGCACACCAGCGAGAGGTGGGGGCTCTTAGAGCAGGTGGAGCCAACTCTAGGCCAGGTAGACACCCCAGATCTGCCAGCACCAAGCAGTGGGGGGAGGCAGGAAGGAGGCGGGAGAGGCAGCACAGCACCGCGCCGCACCTCGTGACACTCGGCGGTGATGGTGGCGCCGCCGCCGGGCGGCTTGTGCCGCCACTTGTTGCA